TCCCCTACAAGTAGTCACAGTAGTTCCTGGGAGCACAGGGTGGAGAGGACAATAGGATGTTGCGAAGGCTCATCAAACTCAAATATTCAATGTGGTACTTGTTTCTTGCATCCATTTTTCCTATCTATGTTCCTGCCAGCCACCCAATTCACTGAGTCTTTCCTCACATTCAGAGTCAACAGCAAATTAAACCTTATCGATTCTACCTCATAAAGCTCTCTTGAATCTCGTCTCTCCTCTCCCTCACCACAGCTACCCTAATGGTGCAGACCATTATTATATCTTGCCCCGATCACCGCAATGGCATTCTGACGGCCTCCGTTGCTAGTCCTATCCTTCTTCATACATTTTTCAAGTGCCATCTGAGAAAACATTTAAAAACACAATGAATACCACTTGGATTCTCTCTTCAGAAGCTTCCATAGTTCCTCTCTTTTCCAGTATGAAACCATCTCAAAAGCCAGCAAAACTTTGGAGAGAACTCTGAGACGTAGGTTTAAACTCTGGCTTAGCTTAGGGGGAAACTGGAGAGATCCCGACAGATAGGAGGAAGGTCTTGAGAGAAAAGGAGGGACCAGGGTCACTTCCGCTTTTAGTAAGTCTGTGGAGGAGGCACGTGCCTCGTTCCTGCACATGGCTGTTGGACACCCTTGTGTGGTTTCTCATGGCTGAGGAGAGGAGGTAAAAAGGATGATAACCCTGAGCTAAGGAGAGTACGATTGGGAGTGAGCAGCCTGCTCGCATTGGTTCACACCTGCCGTACTGAGGCTGTCTGCTGCACAATCAAGTGGCAACGGCCTTTGTGAATCTCTAGTGCAAGGATAAGAAAGAGAAAGTCTCCCTTGGCAGCAGCAGAGGGTGGCATGGTAGGTAGGACCATGTCACATCGTTTTAGCTATGGCAGCAGTTGCAGACACTGGGATATATTAGTGGCGGCTGAGGCACCATGCAGTAATCCAGAACATGTGAGCACAGAGAAGGTGTGTGATCCTGTGTGTGTTTACACAACCGCCCCAGGAAAGCCTAGTCTGATTATTATATTGTTCCCTCACTATACTCAAACTGAAAGGTTCTAGAGAAATTTCTGTCTCACAGCTCTTCAAAGTCATCTGTGACCTGGCTCTTGTATGCACCCAACATTCATCTCCTGACCCCTTTGCTCTGACCGGTAAACTTCCACCCCAGCCACACTGAACTGTCTGTAGTCTCCTGCACATGCCGTCTTCTCTCGTGACTCAGCTTTGGCAATGCTCTCTTTCTGTGGGGTGCCCTCTCCCTGCTTGTTCACAGGTGATCTCTTCTGTGGACTATTTCTTCCTCAGGTTCTCCCCACCCTGTGCTTCCAGTAACTACTTTGACTACGTTTAGGAGAATATTGATCACGTAGGATTGTAACACTCTGGATATGTCTACCTTTTTTTATCTGTTAACTCCTTTAAGTCAAGGCTATATCTTATTCACAGGTGAAGAATGGTACCTTATTCACAATAGAATCAAGAGTCTACCACATATTCTTGTGCACAGTGGACATTTGAACGTTTGTGGAAAGAACAGCACTGCAAGAGAGATGCTACGTAGATCCCCGCGACAAAGCAAAGATTCTCTCTCGGGCATATTCACATTAAGCCCCTCCATGCTGCCCACTGCTGGGGCAGGCTGGAGGGCAGAGTCCCCAGGGAGACACCAACATGACCACAGGACACTATAGTGGAAGAGGCGGAAGGGGAAGCCCACGGCTTGCACCACCTACAGATCCAATTTGAAATGGAAGAAAAAAGCACACTAAAAAAGAATCATAATAGAAATAGGTGTATAACCAGTGCCTTTCTCTGTCTTGGTAGAGAGCACTTCATAAACCTCCTGAAATTAATTCACTAAAATTTCTGAGGAGGAAAGCCAAGAGTGGTTGGTTTATTCCCTTGGTAGAGGTGAGGTCTCTAAGACAGTGATTCTTAGGTTATTCATTTTGATCACAGGGCTCTGAACACCTAGTCTAGTGTAAATGTTTAAAATATGAGTCTGAAGTAGGGATTTTGCTTGAATATAATCTTTATGAAGCCATGGATTTTGCCTGTTTTTCTTCTCTGCAGTTCGTCTAACACAACAGGGACAAATACATTTGGATCTGGGTTGTATAACATAAAGGGAGAGAACAAAGAAACCTGAATACTGGGGTGGTGATATACTGTGAGTTCTTCATTTCAAATCCATACCTTTCTACGATTTGCTGAATTTACAGCATCACAAATCACATGACCACCAGTGCTTTGGATCCACACAGATGCTGATAGTATTCTGTATGTCCGTGGCATTTTAGGCTCTTGGCACAACAGATCTGTGAGGCAAATATTTGTTTTTTGACACATACTGAAGCAACCACCCACTTATGTGGGTAAATACAATATATGCCAAGGTTGACTATTCATTTCACTGGTCCAGGGCAGTAAGGATTCATCGGAGGTGACAGGGTAAGGATGATAGCTTGACCAATTCTAATGCAGAGCACATGACCCTAGTGAGATTTTGAATTCACACAGGTCTTGGGTAATACATGTTAACAACGATGTTATTTAACACTTTGTTCATTAACTAGATTTCCAAGTGTATTTCTGTTTCAGGACTTTATGTTCCATTTGGCATCTGGTAATAGGAACTACTACATTGAATGCTTATTAAGTGCATACCAGACATTGTCCAAAGCTCTTTGTAAATATTATCCTTTTTAAATATGTTTTTTTTTTAAATTTATTTTAGAGGAAAAAAAAAAGGAGAGGGAGAGAGAGAGAAACATCAGCGAGAGAGAGGAACATTGATTGATTGTCTTCTGCATACCCTCTACTGGGTATAGAGCCGGCAACCTGAGCATGTGCCCTAACTGGGAATCTAACCAGTGACCTCCTGGTGCACAGGAGGATGCTCAACCAACTGAGCCACACTGGCCAGGATTGTAGATATTATCTTATTAGTTGTCACAATGTTGGTACTATATACTTATAGTTGGTACTATAAGTATCACCACAAGAGTCCCATTAAGGTCAACCACTTGCCCTAAGTTGCAGAGCTATTCAATGGAGGAGCAGAGATTTGAACCATGCAGTCTGAGAACAGAATCCATGTTCATAGTCATTAGGCTGCATTGTTTTTTGTTGCACTATTGCCAACAAATTGCAAGTTTATGTCATTATCAATGTCAAGAATTCTGAGATCTTTTGGGATTAAGTCACATTGATTAGAAACCCCTGAGGCACAGATTGTCAGAGCTGGAGGGGACCAGAGACACCATCCAAGGCTGCATCTTCCCAGCATCCCTTCCTAAATCCTCAGATTTTTCTTGATTCTAAATGTTGGAATGTCCCAATGACCCTTCTTTTCTACGTCCCTACTATCTTCCTAGGTGATCTCATCTAGTCTAGTGCTTTATATACATTCTGTATACTACTGACCCCCAATCCATGAGCTGCAGATCAATATATTTAAATTACCACTAGAGATTTCCACTTGCATGTCTGATAGGAATCACCAATATAACACAGCCAGAATCAACCATCCCACTTCTCTCTGTGTGTTCTCCACCCCAGTAAATGATGGCATCATTCACTAAACATCTCAGGCTGCAAGCCCTGGACTCATGCTTGGCTCCACTTTGTCTCATTTCGACTTCATCAGCATGTCCTGACAGCTTGGCCTTGAAACTTTATGCTAAATTTGACTACTTCTCACCATCTCCACTAACGTCACCTTAATTTAAGCCACTATTATCTCTTGCTGTGGTATTTAATAGCCTCCTAAATAATCCAGCTGCTCCTACCTTTTGCCTTCCTTCTGTAACTGATTTTCTGTACAGTAGCCATAATTATCCTGTTAAATTATTAATCGGATCATGTCATATTAGTGTCATATAAAATTCTGCATAGAATGTTCACATGGCTTCTCATGTCCTTGAGGTAAGAGCCAGAGTCCTCACAATCCTCTCTAATGCTCTACGTAAGTCATTTGCGCCTTGCTATTTTCTGAATCCTTCACCTTTCCTTTCCCCCACCTCATTCCACTCCAATCAGACTGTACCTCTCGCTATTTTGTCAACACATCAAAGTTGTTCCCATTTCAGAGCTTTTGGATTTTCTATTTTCCCAGCCTGCAATGACCTTCAACTAGACAATTTTATGGTCTGCTCCCTTAACTCATCCTCCTATTTGCTCAGATATCTCCTCTGAGAACCTTTCTGTGATCAGCAGATCTAAATACCAGTCCCCCCTCACTCCCTATCCTCCTATCTTGATTTATTTCTCTTCATTGCACTTATTGCTACCTGACATTCTATTATGTGGTTTATTTGTTTATGGTCTGTTTACCATGATAGATAAGTTCTCTGAGGACAAGGGCTTTTTCCTCTCCTGTTTACCACTTTAATCTTCAGCATTTTGCCACTTTTGGGCACAGAATAAGGTGCTCACTAACTATATGTTGAATAACTGAATACACTGTCTAATGAGGATTCTTCACCTGAGGAAGTTGAAGCTCAGAGAGCCTCATGATCACATATCTGGTAGAACTAGAGCTGGAGTACTGACCACTTTATAACGTCTCAGCATTAACCCTCTCTCAATACTCAATTATTTCTTTTTAAACTTGTTATAATTTGTCAAATGATACTTACCAAGACTGTAAAGGATAACAGAAGCATATAGCATTTTGCCTACGGATGGCTTCACAGTTGGTAAATTTAGTAGCACATTAATAACAGTGGCAATGACAATAATAATTAATGAGGGCAATTGTACTTAGTTATGTTTAACCTAAAAATCAACGATAATACTGTTGGAGGCTTTCTCCATCTCAAGGTTTATATTCTACTTTCCTAAGGGAAGAAAACTGCATTTAATATCCACAGAAGGGATGCACACCCAGGGTCCCTAACCTTACAATTCTCTACCGCTGTAGCACTTACGCTATCCAGTAACTATTCTATTTCCTAAGCTAAACACACACTCTCGACTTACCTTCCAGAACACGGAGCTCCACCTGTTAGGTGATCTCTGGATCTGGAAATCTTCCTCGTCCTCCCAGATGGAAGTGGTACAGTCCTCATAAAACTGGTGCAGGTAAGACCGAACTCCGTAGCGCTGGTGCCCGCCCTCGGCAGCAGCCTGTGCCTGCTTGGACCCACCGACATTGCGGCAAGAACTCATCCTTCCCAGCTGGAATGACAACATCCATGTGTGTCAGCCCCGTGGGCTCTGGCCTCAGGATCGAAAGGCATATTAATGGCTGAGTAATGTCAGCTTATTTGAACAAAGCTCTTTTCTTAAGAGAAAAGACAGTTTTTAATACCTGCCTTTCTTATAAGCTTAATACAAACTTTCCCTAAATACTCAGTGATTAGAACTGGTTTTCCATAAGTAAAACCAGACATAACAGCACAGCTCACATAAGTTATGCAAAAATGAAGCCTGAAGCATATGAAAAATGGCAGCAAAGAAGTTGAGATTTTCATTGTCTTGACAAGTAATCTTTAATCTCTTGGAATCCAATAGTCTTTATAATTACAGGTCAAGAATTCGGCAGGAACTCACTTTCTACAGATGGGATTTGTCTTGGGCTGTCCGCTCAGATGCTTCAGTGTTCCCTTGTGGCAAGTACATGGTGTTACTCTTAGCTGTTTGAAATTCTGCCTTTGGATCTAACGTATCTTACTCTAACATTTTAACTAAGTGTCAAGTTGTACAGAAGCTTTATTAAAAAGCCGCTCAGTAACCTACGCTTCATGCTTTATTAATCACAAATGATTTGGACAATAATTTACACCTCACTGACTCCAACATCAGGTAGTTCAGTAATTATGTGTGGTTATATCTGTCCATGTGGGATGCTAAGGCATAATGCAGAGAGTAGACCCAGCCTTTTATTATTTTCCATGAAGTGTCTAGTATGAATAAGAATTCAGAGAATTGTTAAATGAAGCTATATTCTGGATAGGTGGTTTGGGACTCTGTCTTCTTCTTGGTTGACCTAATCATTACTCATAGAGAGAGGCATTTGATTATTAATCCATGGCAAATAATAATAATAATAATAATAATAATTACTGAGGAATAGAAATTTTGGTAAGAGAATTCTCAGTTATTTTTGCTTATTCTTTGTTTTTCTGATCCCCACATAAGCAGATTAATGTAGCTGAAGACGTGAAATATTGCTTGGATTTTTAAATTGTCCTCTAGATGGTTTTCCCTGTGTGGACATAGTCTCAAAATAACAAAACAAGAAACAAAGAAGAAGGGTATTTTCCCAATTTAACCAGGTTTTCTCAGGGCTTGTGCTATAATTTGAGCTAATAGTGGGGTGTATTAAATGTTTAAAATTTCTTATCAAGAAACCAAGTAGTTATATATATCTACAAGGTAAAAATGAATCTAAATTTCTAGCAGGTACCCCTGTGTAGCCACTTAGTATGGTTGGATAGGCTCATGGGTTAAAATGAAAGTTGAAGCCAAGAATATTTAGCACTTTCCTGTCCCATGGCCACAATGCAAACCTATAAGAATATCTTGTAAATGTTGGCCCTTGGCCATAAATGGGTTTTAGTTAGAAAATATAGTCAAATTCAGGAAAATATGGTACTGATCTTAGAAAAATGATGCAGTCAGGTGCTAAAGATGGTGACCAATAACCTCATCCTTCTAAGTGTTGGTTGATATTACATTTATTGCCCACTGTGCCTTCTTTCTGCCTCAGGCATAGCTACCATCTAAAGAAATCGCCCAGGAGGAGAGAGCAGGGCAGGCAGGTTTGTTATTTTTTTTTTTTTAACTTTTAAACATTAAAATCAAGAATTTAGAATGTACTTTGCCTCATTGAAACAGCAAGGTCTGATGGATCAAATTCTTTCGTTAGCCTAGATTTCATATTTTAAATGCCAGAATTTCTTCAGTACCATTTACTTAATGTTTACACAGTAAAGATAATTAATAAGGGCCTATTCCTAGTGATCTATAAGTAGAACAATTTTTTTGTTTGTTTGTTTTATGCCCCTAGCAGGAACCAAACCTGGGATTCTCTGGTCCACAGGCCGACGCTTCAACCGCCTAGCCAAACTGGCCAAGGCAAGTAGAACAATTTTAAAGGCCCTTTTCTTTTAAAACATTAAAACACAATTTCAGTCAAAGGGCATAGGATTATTATTACTAATTCTTCTTTGTCATTGAAGAAACTGAGGCATGGAAAAATCATCTGCTAAAGGTTAAACCATGAGTCAGGGAGCAGATGAAACATGACAATACATGGACTGAATAACAAATTTAGATAATCAGAACCAAACTCATTCATATATATATTTTCAGATTTTCTGTACAGTATCAGTGAGTTTAACATAAAAAAGAACAAAAATGGGTATGACAGGAGTAAACAGTAAGGTTTATTTGTCTTAGATGCTGAAGTCCTTCTTTCTCAGAATTGAGCTTTCGTGCAGGAGAGCACCGTGTGACATTCTCTGTCATCTCCAGCACACCAGGTTACCTGCTTGAGGGGGTGAGACTCAGCAATCCAACTTTTGGTAAACACAATATGGGTAAAATCATAAGAGTCAGAAAGTGTCATAAAACACATGTGTTTGAGGCTGAGCGATGGAAGGACCTACTCTAAGTCAGAATGGAGTTTTAGTGATTGTTAGATACATTCCAGAAATGGAATCCGAATGAGTCATTCCCCCTCTCCAAGAAAGAACATGACCTGTACTGTGCTAACCACACAGAGCAGAAAATGAGCTCTCATGCTAGTTCTTGATCTGCAACTTACTGGTTATGACATCTTAGGCAAGCTCATTAACCTCTCTGGGCTCTGGTTTTATCAACCTTAACATAAGATGGTTGCACCACATAACCTCTCATTGCTTCCTGAGACAGAGGTCCAGGAGTCTTTGGTCATGAATCCATAGACTGAGTCAATTATTTTTGTTGGATAAACAACTGGGTTTACTAATTTCCCACCTCCTCCTAAGCCCTCTCAGATTGATTGTCATTTTCCCAAATTTTGCTTTATTATTGTATGTATGAAACTTCAGTTCAAAAGAACATATAAGCTACTAATAAGATTAGTTGGTATTAAGTAGACTGAATGGCTGTGTGTTCGTTGTTTAATAAGTTAAATTCAATATCATGTATGTGGTCTAAATTAGTAGTTCCTATACTCCTAGAGGAAAATAATCACTTGGAAGAACATGAATTTTAAAATATAACACAATAGTAGGAGAATTTTGCACCTATAAAATTTCAACAAACAATTATATTCCTCACAGGGAAGCCAGTAACTTTTTGTTCCAATATAGAAAATGTTACAGTAATTTGGAATCTATTTGGTTAATTAACACATCCAGTATCATAAAGAGGATACAAGAAGTCACATTATTAAGTCACTTTAAGAGATGAGTAATTATTATACAATAAACTAGGGTTGAGAAGAAACGGAAGATATGTCAAAGGCTTTTTAACTTGGCTCAGCATTTACTTAATGAGAAACTTTCATGAGAATTCTGATATTTGTATTTCAATAGCTATAGTAGTATCAACAGCAAAAACAGTAATGTTGAATCTATGACTCTTGTTAAGGGATAGATCCTGGAGGGCTCCTTTTTTCTTTCTAAGATAGCCTTGTTGTGCCAAGAAGTACATAATTTGGGAGTAGAGGTGAGTGGAACTATTTTCCAGTATTATATTTAAATGAATTCTGTGAATGTTCATTTTAGAAACACTTCTTGTGGAGCCTGTTGTATCTTTCCTGCAGCCATCTTGATGGAGCACAAGCAACCTGAGTGTCTGGTTGCTGGGTCATGAATGAAGAGGCAGTTCCTTTTGTTCTCCCTGAAGGACATTCCAGGTGTTGATAAGTTAGGATCCATCCATGTTTTTCTTTTACAGTCAGTCTATCTGAATTGTATGTACAACTATATATTAAATGGATATTCAACTCTTATCAACATAGCATGCCTATCATATCCCAGAGACCCATAGAAGGAGAAAAATCATACCTTAACTCCCCTTTCAAACTCTTCTGAGAGGTTTTTTGCAATCTGCATGTTAAATATCAGCCCTCTACCACTCTCTATCTCCTCCAAATTTGTTTGTTTTCATAGCATTTGTTACTATCATATACTCCATTATGAATGGTCAGATAGACCAGGTACATGACAGACTGTAAGCTTCACAAAGGCAAGGACTTCTGTCCAGTTACCACTTTGATCTCAAGCATGTTGGAACTTATGGGCACAGAGTTCAATATGGATTGGTGTGGGTGATGGCCTCAGTGGTCGGTCCTTTCTTTTTCATTTCTCTATTCTTTTAGTGTTTTTAAAGCCCTAATTATGTGCCAGATTATGTGAGATAATGGTTACAAAGATGAACAGGGCACAGTCTGCTCTCAATAGATTCTTGGATTAGAAGGAAAAAATACTCATAAGTCAATAATTGCAACAAAACAAGCACCAAAATGGGACATTTGCAGCAAGAGGAAGTACAAATGCTGAGAATCCCTTGAACAATTACTCTATTTGGCAAACAAACCCATACATGTGATATTTTGATCTTTGTGTGTGCCAATATACTACAGTATCAATTTGTTGGAAATGCAAATTTGTCTAACATATGCAGTTATTTTTTCTTTTTTACTTAAAAAAATGTTCATGTCCATGAAAACAGAAATAAATATTTATTCCCCATAAAACTCTAAGACTATCACAGACTTTGTATTATTTATCTTCATGGTCTCCTTGAGAGAAGATTGACAGAAAATTGAGGCACAAAAAGGATGAGTGTTTTCCCATGGCTCTGTGTGTGAGTCAGTTGTGAATCCAGGCACAGTCCCTGTTCTATTTATTCTACTTGAAATATCATTCAATTTTCATACTGTCTTTCTCTCCCATAAAGTCATACTGAGATAATGAGAGTGAAGTTCCCATTAGAGCCACTTTCTCACAGTGCTGGGGATGTAAGGTATAGGCGCATAGCTGATTTAGACCATTTATCCAACATCAAACCCAAAGGTCAATTCACTTAAAAGACTCAGACTCAGAGTGGACGCAGGAAGATATGAAAGCCTGCTAACAGCGTTTTCACTTTTAAACCAGGCATTCTTGAATTATGTAAGCATGGCTTTAGAACTTGAAAATGTGTTTGTAGATTATTTCAGAGGTATTTTATTTCCCTGCAATAGTGGTAGAGATTGTGGCTCTATATTTGAGTTTGTATACCCTCTAAGTCAGTGGATATGCAGCCACTATATAATTTTTAAAAGAAAAGTAATGATACGCAGTTATCTTATTACTTTATGCCTTCAGGATGTATTTCTAACAAAGGTGTAAAAGTCCAAAACTAAAATGAAAAGAACTCATAGTCTCTTTAAATGTCTTCTTTGTCTACATGCAGATCACAAGGTGCTTATAAATCAACATGGGACAAGGCTTGAGTCTTACCTTTGAAGTCCTCCTCTTTTTCTTTTAGTTGTTTGCTCTTTGACCTTCCTTTTTAACAGCACATTCTTCAATCCTAGTTGAGAAAAAAAATCTGTGAAGAATGTAATCTAGATAAAAACCTAAATTTTATAAGCCATTCTTATAAGTTATAAACAATCATTTTAATGTTAACAAAAACATTAACAAACAATTTCTTGTTCAAGAGAAGATACCTTTTTTGTTTTTTACAAAAGTACATTTTGTAACTTTTTAATGGGCTCTTATGAGAGTTTATAGAGTAAACGAGACAACATAAGTGAAAAGAGCTCTGGAAACTATAACACACTATGCAAACACTGTTCTTATTGTGATATAATTGTATCCCATGCAGTAAATAATACCAATTAGAGTGATCCATTTGTATTTTACAATTTCGAAGCAAAAAGATTACTTGCTTAATAGATAATCCAGAATTAATTTATTTGGTGCCTGTTCCATTGTATTATAAAATAAATACATCTTATAGCCATTGCATTTTCTGATCTATTTACATGTACTTAGACCTACTAAGGCTCTTTGGATGATTTACCCATTAGGTTGATTTTCACTCCTATATCCATTTTCTTCCTCTCATGATCATTTTACTTTTCATCTGACTAAGAAAACCAGGTGGCCATGCAAGATTTAATTAAAAAGTCATTACCAGCAATTGAGCTATTGGTTTCCTGCATTACTCTAGTCATGTAAAATAAAATAATAACTGGGGGAATATTTTCAAGAGGTCATTAAGAATTCTTCCTGATAAAGAGTTCCCCATCCACTTACAGGAGAACCTCAGATTTCAGGTGAATATGTCTAGTTGAGAACTGATTTTTTTTTCAGTATTTTGCAGGTTCAATGTATATGAACCATAGCTAAACCTTCTCCAAGATTCATGTCTTTGCTCCAAAATTTTATTTTGTGGGTATCCTGAATCTGGATAAGCAATCCTCTCCCCCCCCTCCCCTCTCCTCCCCTCCCCTCCCCTCCCCTCCCCTCCCCTCCCCTCCCCTTTGCCCTTATCCCCACCCACCCCCTCTCTCATCTGTGCCTGTGTCTCTCAACTAAACCACCTCTCTTTATCTGTCGCCTGCTCCCCATTTTCTTTGCAAGAATTGTCTCCACACTTGCCCTTCACCAAAGGCTGGCCTGGAGCCCAATGAGCTCTCCAAGGTGCTGAAAACATTTCTGCTACTGAGCCAGGAACCAAACAAACAACAGCGGTTTAACTCCAGCTCTGTTTTCTTCTGAGGTCACCAGCCTTGGTCTGACCCCCACCCAACGTCCCTTTCTAACCACACAAAAAGTCGGTCCTGAGATAACATCAAAATACTCAAACATTTTTAGACGTGGCAAAGGAGCAAAGAGAGCAAATTTGGCCTGGAAAACAAATCAAACCAGCTTTCCAAACTCCAAATACATAAAATGTACTCTTACCTAATATACAACTTTTCTCTCACAGGAAAGAAACTCTTAAGTTTCCCCTGTATGCCTTCGAAATCCTTACATAACACAAACCACAAACCGTCAAAGCATGGAGTTTGCAAACCCTTATTTGTTCACGGATTTCAATACCATGGTTTTTGTAGAGATTTGTGCACATATAATAAACGTGAATGAGAAATGTGAGAGACAGAGAGACAGACAGAAAAGAATATGAATATATGAATATTTGTGCGTGAGGAAAGAGAAAGGAAAGAGAAAGGGAGGAGAGGGAGAACTGGAGAGACAAACCCAGTATAGATCACCGCACCCCTGGGCTTTACCTGCCCCCTCCAATCCCCTGACCCGTGGAGCAAGTGCAGCCTTCTAGCCGCAGATCTCTCGCTGGGGTCCCATCGCCGCCGCCGCCGCCGCCGCCGCCGCTCCCGCCGCACCGACTCGAGCCTGCGCGTGATTGACAGCTGGGTGCCCCTCGTGCCCGCGCATCCGAGTCCCGCGCAGCCGCCGCCGCTGCTGTGGAAGGGGCGGGATCCGAGCTGTGCAGGCGCGCGGCGAGTGGGCGGGTTCCGAGGGGTGAGCAGGCGGGGCCACAAGCAAGGCTGCCTGCAGGCCTCCTTCCCACCTGCACGGAGCCTGTGCCTCTCTGGAGAGTGACAGCCACGTGGAAGGCTGGTCACTGTTCCTCAGGAAGCCCCACGGGTCGGGGCCGGGCACCTTGTCTGCTTTGCTGCCTTGCTCAGCACAGTGGCTGGCTAGAGCCCTTAGTGCACACATATTTTTTAATGAATGGAGAAGGCAGACGTCTGCTTCTTCCACCTCCACTCCATTTTGGGAGGTGTAGAGCTTCTCCCCACCCTGTTTCTGAGACACAGGTGAAGAGTTTCTCTAGCTCCCAGAGTGCTGCCCGCTGATAGAACCTTCTCACCTCTGACAGCATTGGGCACTTTCAGTTCCTCATCTCGGCCCTGACCCCAACATCAGGAAGTCTCAGTGGGTGAGATGGAAGAACAGTGAAGAAAATGGATTAAATGATGATATTCAAGAAAACACACGCGCACACACACACACACACACACACACACACACGAACACACCAGAAAAGTACCGGTGAATATCTCAGAAAATTTGTGTGGGTGAGGGCAAGACAGTATATAAACACAATAACTAACTCTTGCTTCTCGAGACTTTCTGCAGACCGCTGGTAAGTGGCATTTAATGAAAATTATTCCTAAGGCAGTTAATATTTGCACAGCCATTCTACACATAGAAGAATAATAACACCTAACATTTACATAGGGCTTACTATGTACCAGGAATTGTTTAAGTACATTACATATACCTTAATTATACTCACATTAAGTAATTAAATCCTCACATCAGCTCTAAGTGGTAAGTGGTTTTCATTATCCCAATTTTACAGATGAAGAGGTTGAGGTACAGAGAGAAGTGACCTCTATCTATGATGTTACAAGCTTACAGTTACTTGTCCCAAGCTACACGACTACTGCATGGAAGAGGTGGACTGGAATCTACATAGGGTTATCTCCTGGAGGGGATTTAATGTATAAGTGATACTCACCTAAAAAACAACACAAAAGAAATAACTATTTTTATTAAATAGTAGACAGATCAAAGCAATCGTTGAGCAAACGTTTCAAGGAATGGCTGTGTCTTTGTTCCACCAGTTCACAACTCTTACCCCAGTTTCAGCACTATAGTAGTCCCTCATCCATGGGATAATGGTCCAAGAACCCAAATAGTTGCCTGATACCACAAATAGTACTGAACCCTGTATGTAGTTTTGTTCCATACATACATACTTGTAACAAAGTGTAATTTATAAATCAGGATTTTTATTAATTAATTATTTATTTTCGTTACAGATGTTTCTCCTTTCCCCCCCACAGATTCCCCCCACCTTCTCCTCCCTGCCTTGTCCCCAGCTTTGTTGTCCATGTCCATTGTTCATGCATACATGCATATAAGTTCTGTGGTTTATCTATCCCCCACCACCTCCTCTTCTGGGGATTGTCAGTCTGTACCCCACTTCCACGTCTCTGGGACTTCTCCATTCCTCAGACTGTTATGTTCATTATATTCCACAAATAAGTGAGATCATATGATACCTGTCTTTCTCTGTTTAGCTTGTTTTGATTAGGATAATACTTTTCAGGTCTCCATGTCGTCTCAAAAGATAAGAGATCTTTCTTTCTTACAGCTGCATAGTACTCCATTGTGTATATGTACTACAACGTTTTTATCCATTCATTTACTGATGAACATTTGGGCTGTTTCCAGATCTTAGCTATTGTAAACAGTGATGCTACAAACATGGGGGTACATATATTTCTTCTGATTGGTGTTTCAGGCTTCTTAGGGTATATTCCTAGAAGTAGGATCACTGGGTCAAACGCAAGTTCAATTTTTAATTTTTGAGGTAACACCATAGTGTATTCCATAGTGGCTGCACCAGTCTGCATTCCCTCCAGCAGTGTACTAGAGTCCCCTTTTCTCTACACACTCGCCAACGCTTGTTCTTTGATGATTTGATGATGGTGGCCATTCTGACAGGTATGAGGTGATACCTCATTGTTGTTTTAATGTGCATCTCTCTGATGATTAGTGATGTTGAGCATTTCTTCATATGTCTCTTAGCCATTTGTATGTCCTGTTTGGAGAGGTGTCTATTTAGTTCCTCTGCCCATTTTTTAATTGGGTTCTTCGTTTTCCTTTTGTTGAGCTGTATGAGCACTCTCTATATATTGGAAATTAACCCCTTATCTGATATATCATTGGCAATTATGCTCTCCCATACGGTGGGTTGCCTTTCCATTTTGATGATTGTATCTTTTGCTGTGCAGAGGCTTTTGAGTTTGATGTAGTCCCATGTGTTCATTTTCTCCTTTGTTTCTGTAGCCTTAGGTGATGTATCAGTGAAAATTCTGCTGCGTATGATGTCAGAAATTTTGTTGCCTCCATTTTCTTCTAGGATTTTTATGGATTCGTCACATTTAAGTCTTTTATCCATTTTGAGTTTATTCTTGTGTATGGGGTAAGTTGATGGTCTAGTTTAATTTTTTTGCATGTAGCTGTCCAATTTTCCCAACACCACTTATTAAAGAGGCTGTCTTTATTCCACTGTATGCTCTTGCCCCCTTTGTCAAATATTAATTAAGCATATTGCCTTGGGCCCATTTCTGGGTCCTCTGTTTGTTTCCACTGGTCTATATGCCTGTTCATGTGCCAGTACCCGGCTGTTTTGATTACAGTGGCTTTGTAGTATAACCTGAAATCTGGTAATGTGATCCCTCCTACTTTGTTCTTCTTTTTCAAGATTGCTGTGGCTATTCGAGGTCTTTTTTGGTTCCATATGAACTTTTGAAGTATTTGTTCTAGTTCTGTGAAGTATGTCATTGGTATTTTGATGGGGATTGCATTGAATCTATAGATTGCTTTAGGTAATATGGACATTTTAATGATGTTAATTCTTCTAATCCATGAACAAGATATGTGCTTCCACTTTTTTATATTGTCCTCTATTTCTTTTTTCAATGACCTGTAGTTTTCTGCAAATAGGTCCTTTATTTCTTTGGTTAAGTTTATTCCTAGGTATCTTTTTGAAAAAATTTTTCTTTCTTTTTTTTAATTTTATTTTATTATTATTTTTATCCTCACCCAAGGACATTTTTCTGTTTTTTGTTCATATAGAGTGGGGGAGAGAGAGAGAGAAACATCGACGTGAAAGGGACACATTGAGTGGTCTCCACCCGCACAACACATACAGGGCCAGGGAACAAACTGCAATCGAGGTACATGCCCTTAGCAGGAACCGATCCTGGGTCTCTCCGGACCACAGGCTAATGCTCCAACCGGTGAGCTAAACCGACCAGGGCTATTCCTAGGTATGTTAATTTTTTTGCCGCAATGGTAAATGGGATTGCTTTTTTAGTTTCTCTTTCTGTGAGTTTATCGTTGTTGTATAAGAATGTCATCGATTTCTTGATGTTAATTTTGTATCCTGCTACTTTACCAAATTCATTTATTAAGTTGAGTAAATTTTTGATGGAGTCGTTGGGATTTTCTACATATAGTATCATGTCATCTGCGAATGATGACAGTTTCACTTCTTCCTTTTCCATTTGGATCCCTTTTATTTTCTCTTCCTGTCTGATTGCTGTGGCTAAAACTTCCAGTACTATGTTAAATAAGAGTGGTGAAAGTGGGCATCCTTGTCTTGTTCCTATTCTTAAAGAAAATGCTTTTAATTTTTGCCCATTGAGTATGATATTGGCTGTAGGTCTTTCATATATGGCCTTTATTATGTTGAGATATGATCCCTCTATTCCCAGATTGCTGAGCATTTTAATCAGAAATGGATGCTAGATTTTGTCGAATGCTTTTTCAGCATCTATTGATATGATCGTATGATTTCTATCTTTCATTTTGCTTATGTGATGAATCACATTTATTGATTTGCGAATATTGTACCAGCCTTGCAACCCTGGGATGAATCCCACTTGGTCATGGTGAATAATTTTTTTGATGTATTGCTGGATTTGATTTGCTAGTATTTTGTTCAGGATTTTTGCATCTATGTTCATCAGGGATATTGGTCTGTAGTTTTCCTTCTTTGTAGTGTCTTTTTCTGGTTTTGGAATTAGAATTATGCTGGCCTCAACAAACAAGTTTGGAAGTCTTCCTTCTTCTTGAATTTTTTGAAATAGTTTGAGGAGAATGGGTATTAGTTCTTCTTTGAATGTTCAGTAAAATTCCCACGTGAAGCTGTCCTGGCCTGGGATTTTGTTTGCTGGGAGAGTCTTGATCACATCTTCAATTTTTTTGTTGTTATTGGTCTGTTCAAGTTTTCTATCTCTTCTTGGTTCAGTTTTGGGAGCCTATGTGTTTCTAAAAATTTGTCCATTTTGCTTAGATTGTCGAATTTGTTGCCGTATAATTGTTCCTAATATCTGTTAACAATCCTTTGTATTTCAGTGGTGTCAGTTATTATTTCTCCTCTTTCATTTCTGATTTCGTGTATTTAGATTCTCTCTCTATTTCTTGGTGAGTCTAGCTAATGGTCCATCAATCTTGTTTATCTTTTCAAAGCACCAGCTGTTTGTTTCATTGATACTTTGAATTGTTTTTTTGGTCTCTATATCATTTATTTCTGGTCTGATCTTTACTATTTCCTTCCTTTTACTTGCTCTGGGGTTTTCTTTCTGTTTGCTCTCTAGTTCTTTAAGTTGTGAGGTTAGACACTCTATTAGAAATTTTTCTTGGTTCTTGAGGTAGGCCTGTAGTGCTATGAACTTCCCTCTCATAAGTGCTTTCACTGCATCCCATAGATTTTGTGTTGTGTCTTTATTTTCATTGGTTTCCAGGAAGTTTTTAATTT